CGAGACAGAAGTGTCATAGATCGTTGATATCATTCGGACAACCCGCTTGTCTTTCCATGCTAGGAAAAGAATATCGCCTTTTCTGGAAAATATTATGTCACCTTTCTTCATTCTTGATGTTTTCATTTTCAAATTTGGCGGTAAACTTCTACTCTCCCTAATAGTCCCACAGACCCTAGTTTTGTTCTGTAGCAGCAACTCAGCAGTAAACGTAGCATTGTAATAATTATCCTGGTAAATATGGTGCCATACGCCAAGATAGGGTCCAGGCCTTAAAGAACAGTTTCCTGCAATTTCTTTCCTTCAGCAGTGTATATCTCCGTATTGCAGATATAGCCGGTGTCACTCTCCCACACCATCTGAACAAGTAGACTATATTTTGTTATTTTCAATGGGTTGTACATGCGAAATTTTAAACGTCCTCTCCATGGAATCATTCCCTCGTCCAAAGACAACTGTTGCTTTGGTTTGTATATTGTTCAAAATTTATGCAGGAAATAATCCAGCACAGATTGGATCTTGAAAAGTCTCTCCGAGCGACTGTCCATTTTGGTGCTATCACTGAAATGCCAGAATGTCCATATTTGCTCAAATCTATGGTAACTCATTGTCTGTGGAAATATAGGGGTACATATCAAAGCATCTGTTGATTAACAGTCTTCCAAGCTATCTTGTTTCACCCATCAGAATAATTAGGCCAAGGAATTTCTTGATGTCCTTCTGTGTAACCAGAGACCACTTTAGTGTTCTAGATGGTGTTTTGCGTTTCATTGCGGTTTGATCGTGATCGTTGGACAGCTCTTTGCACAACAGCTCTTTGCACATCTCCAACAATTCATCACCAAAAAAGAGATTGGTCACAGAGGGTAGAGTCACACTGAGACAGAAATGTAGTGACCCCAACATGACCTTCAAACATCTGTAAGCGTGGCGGTGTGTCAATTTCAGACCAACTATCAGTAGCTTCGTCAGTGTCAGAATCACTTGAAAGCACCGCCACCTTGCGCTTCCTTACAGGTCTATTTCACTGTCAGTAGAATCAGTAGAATTGTCTCCGGAATCGTCAAAACAGTCATCTGCATCTTTGATCTCACTAGGAATATCTCATAAATTATCATTAAATACTTCCAGAAGTGTATCAGTTTCATTGGTTTCCTTCCTTTTTCTGAGAGAGGGCATTTCTAAAAGTGTTAGGAACTTGAAAACGAAGACTATTCAAATGACCAAAATACAATGTAACTGCAATGCTTTATGGGTTCGTGCAATTATATAGTTTTCCCTAGATTGACCTACACGCTTTCCATCAATGAGATCGCTTCATTCAACGTGGACAAGACAGTGTGTTGACATCTAAGGTCCATAACAGATGGCGCGTGAAAAACGAGAAAAGTCGTGAGCGGTCCTTAACAGATGGCGCACGAAACACGCGAAAACTTGTGAGCAGTACGCAATGTGTTAATAGGAATTGCATTGAATTTATAAATTGCTTTGGGTAGTATGGACATTTTAATGATATTAATTCTTCCAATCCATGAGCATGGTATATTCTTCCACTTGTTTAAATCTTCCTCTATTTCTTTTTTCAGTGTCATGTAGTTTTCCCAGTACAGGTCTTTTACATCCTTGGTTGTTTACTCCTACGTTTCTTATTTTAGTTGCAGTGGTAAATGGTATTGCTTTTTTAGTTTCTCTCTCTGATAGTTCATTGTTGGTGTTTAAGAATGCCATTGATTTCCAGATGTTGATTTTGTATCCAGCTACCTTGCCAAATTCGTTTATCAAATCTAGTAGTACTTTGATGGAGTCTTTAGGGTTTTCTATGTACAATATCATGTCATCTGCAAATGAGGACAGTTTCACTTCCTCCTTTCTAATTTGGATACCGTTTATGTTTTCCTCCTGTCTGATGGCTATGGCGAGGACTTCCAGCACTATGTTGAATAAGAGTGGTGAAAATGGACATCCCTGTCTTGTTCCTGTTTTTAATGAAAATGTTTTTAGTTTTTGCCCATTGAGTATGATGTTGGCTGTAGGTCTGTCATATATGGCCTTTATTATGTTGAGGTATGATCCCTCTATTCCCACTTTGCTGAGAGTTTTTATCAGAAATGGGTGCTGGATTTTGTCGAATGCTTTTTCTGCATCTATTGATATGATCATATGATTTTTGTCCATTTTATGTGATGTATCACATTTATTGATTTGCGGATGTTGTACCAGCCTTGCATCCCCGGAATAAATCCCACTTGGTCGTGATGTATGATCTTTTTAATGTATTGCTGGATCCGGTTTGCTAGTATTTTAGTGAGGATTTTAGCATCTATGTTCATCAGGGATATTGGCCTGTAATTTTCTTTCTTTGTAGTATCTTTATCTGGTTTTGGGATTAGGGTGATGCTGGCCTCATAAAAAGAATTTGGGAGTTTTCCCTCCTCTTGAATTTTCTGGAATAGTTTGAATAGAATAGGTGTTAATTCTTCTTTGAATGTTTGGTAAAACTCGCCTGTAAATCCATCTGGTCCAGGACTTTTGTTTGCTGGGAGTTTTTTGATTACTGCTTCAATTTCATTAGTTGTTATCGGCCTATTCAGGTTTTCTGCCTCTTCTTGATTCAGCTTTGGAAGGTTGTATGTTTCCAGGAATTTGTCCATTTCCCCCATGTTGTCCAATTTGTTGGCATATAGTTGCTCATATTTTCTTACAATCATTTGTATTTCTGTTGGGTCAGTTGTTGCCTCTTTCATTTCTGATTTTACTTATTTGGGTCCTCTCNTCAGTTGTTATATCGCCTCTTTCATTTCTGATTTTATTTATTTGGGTCCTCTCTCTTTGTTTCTTAGTGAGTCTGGCTAAAGGTGCATCAATCTTATTTACCTTTTCAAAGAACCAGCTCTTAGTTTCATTGATTTTTTGTATTGTTTTTTTAGTCTCCATGTCATTATTTCTGCTCTGATCTTTATTATTTCCTTCCTTCTACTTCCTCGGGGCTTTTCTTACTGTTCTCATTCTAGTTGTTTTAGTTGTGTTAGATGGTTCATTAGATCTTTTCCTTGTTTCTTGAGATAGGCCTGCAATGCTATTAATTTTTCTCAGGACTGCTTTGGCCGTGTCCCATAGGTTTTGGGTTGTTGTCCATTTTCGTTACTTTCCATGAAGTTTTTGATTTCTTCCTTGACCTCATTGGTAACCCGTTCATTGTTTAATAACATGCTATTTAGCCTCCATGTGTGTGAATATTTTTGAGTTTTTTTATAGTGGTTGATTTCTAGTTTCATGGCATTGTGATCTGAGAATGTGCTTGATATGATTTCAGTCTTCTTATATTTGTAGAGACTTGCCTTGTGCCCTAACATGTGGTCTATTTTTGAGAATGTTCCATGTGCACTTGAGAAGAATGTGTATTCTGCTGCTTTGGGGTGAAATGTTCTGTAAATGTCAATTAAATCCATTAGGTCTAGTGATTCACTTAAGGTCTGTGTTTCCCTGTTTTTTGTCTTGATGATCTGTCCTGTGCTGACAGTGGGGTGTTCAAGTCCCCCACTATGATTATGTTGCTGTCAACCTCCCCTTTAAAGTCCCCCAAGAAATTTTTATATATTTAGGTGCTCCTATATATTGGGTGCATAAATGTTTATAAGGGTTATTTCCTCCTATCTTTGTCTCTAGTTATGGTCTTTATTTTGAAGTCTGTTTTGTCAGAAATAAAAATCGCTACTCCAGCTTTCTTTTCCTTTCCACTTGCATGGAATATTTTACTCCATCCCTTCACTTTTAGGCTGTGTGAGTCTTTTGCTCTCAGGTGGGTCTCTTGTAGACAGCATATATTTGGGTCCTGTTTTCTTATACATTCAGCTACCCTTTGTCTTTCATATTCTGTGTATTTTCTAACGGTCAATAAACTGATTCAAATTATTTAAGTTATCCCACCATTTAAAGAGAAAAGCTTTTGCAATACTTTGAAACCATGGAGTTAGCTTAATTTCACCGCTGGATGCCTTTTTCAGCATTTCTTCCACCTCTTCCTTTGATACATAGTAATAGCTTTTAATCTCATTGGGGTCAGGATTCAAAGTCACATTCTTTCTCACGAACAAAATGTAATCAATTTCATGTTCTCCCCAGATAGTATCAGACTGAGCCTTGTAGTGAATTCAGGTCAGATAATTTCTTCTGGAGCAACCTGTTCCATAGGAATTCACAATTCAGCCTTTAAACGCCTCTGTGCTGCTTGCCTTACTCCAATTGCATCATTTTCTTCAATCTCTCTTGGGTTACTTAAGGGATGACTACAGCAAGTACTGCTAAAACAACCTGGAAAGGTAATTTTGGCATCTGATCTCTGCTGTAGCAGGAGCTTATTTTCGGTGTTGAATAAGAAGACACTAAAAGCTTGATGGAATAACCCTTTCTCAATGTTTTTATTCAGGTGACAATTCTTTTTGGTCTCAGCCCCAATTTTATTGCCATTTTCATCAATAAGAATACACATCTCTGCCAGGAGCTGAACCTGTTGCTTATCAAGGTTTTTGGTGTTGATTCAGGCACAGTTACAAAATGTCTGATCTGTCATAGAATCCCCAGGGATGCACTGAACCGAGGGCGTGGACAGTCCTTGAGCTGCTGCCTGTGGCACACACCTCGTCCTGGCTCAGCCCCGGGATCCAGGCTCCTGAACCCTTGTGTCCAATCGCCTATGCCCCTATTTTTTTTTAATCTTTTAAAAAAATTGATTTTAGAGAGAGATGGATGGCGGGGGGCAGGGAGACTTGTTGTTCCACTAATTTATGCACTAATTGGTTTCGTCTTGTATGTGCCCTGATGGGGAGTTAAACCTATAACCTTGGCTTACTGGAGCAATGCTCTAACCAACTGAGCTATCTGGTTGGGGTTTAGTTCACTGTCTTAATATAGAAGCCACTATTAAGTTTTTATGTCCTTTGAAGATTACAAATTTCAAGTTTCAATAAACTATGGAGGAATGAATTACTTCTAACACATTATCTGAGAGAAAGTCGGTTTATTTTTTTTTTTGCTTTAATGGAACAAAATATTCTATCAAATTACCCAGGGAAGTCCAAGTTACCCATTCCTTCAAGGTTTCAAGTAAGTTTTAAAAGATGATAAAATGACAAAATTATACCACTTTAATAAACTTCTACAATCTATACTTAAGAATTCAAGTACAGAAATAAACTCTGTAATGCTGAGGTAACAATGTAACCTTCTCCCAACATGGCTGCACAGGTCTTTATGGTTTAATGTGAATATTGCTGTGAGGTCTCAAGCTACTTGATGAATCAATCCTACGTCACATTTAGACCAAAAGTAGCATATTATACATGCACTTGAAAGGAATACCTTCAATTTATGTATATGTACATACATACATGTGTGTAGGGACAGATACATGCCAGGGAAAGGTTGACTGAACCATGTTGATAAGAAAAAGTTAGCAGTCAGCTGTTGTTGGAAATACTGAAACATATACAGTCTTCGTGTTCAAAGTCTTCATGGGGATTTCTTCCGTAATTTCTAATGGAAAAAAGTTAAATAAATAAATAAATAAATTTTCTACCTATTCTGCATATTATAAAAATGTCAAAGCCTGAGTAACAATAAATTTGGCCTCACCCAAAGAGAGGTGTGACCCCTGTCCCAGCTCCTGCGGAACCCAGAGAATTTCCTCAGTGACAGTAGTGTGTTTTGTTATCAGGGTAGGCCCTTGATCACACCTTATAATTTATGCAAAGGAGGTGCCTCAGGGTGGAGGTGGCTACACCAGAAAGACCAACCATAAGATTCCAGGTAAAAGTAAGGTCAATCATGCCTATATATAAAGCCTCAATACAAACTCAAGGACACCAAAGGTGAGCCTCTCTGGGTGCATGTCTGTACATACTGACATGCACTGGGGCCAGGGGGAGGTAGCACTTGGGGAAGAGGACAGCTGTAGCTCCGTGTTTGCACCCCTTTCATATCTGGCTTTGTGCATCTATTCCTTGGCCCGATTCTAGGTTTTACCCTTTCCCTGTAAGAAATGTAGTCGTGAACGCAAAAGTTTCCAGTGAGTTCTGTGAAACTTGTTAGCAAATTATCAAACCTGCAAGTGGTTTAGGGAAATCCTCTGAACTTGCAGTTGGTGCCAGAAGTGACAGTGGCCTTGTGTGAACCCTTCCCTCCAAGTTTGTAGTTGGACTCTAACCTCTTAGAGCTTGGGGTTAATTCTTGGTTTTACTTAGGAAGGACTGTGCCCTCAACCCAACTAACTCTGGGTTACTGCCCCAAATGTCCTCATACTCTCTCCCTCCATACCACACCACAGATATTGCCTATGTATACAGAAAGGCCTAGGAGCAAAACCAAGCCAGTAACCAGACTTGTGGTTTCTAAATATTAACTTCCTATAACAGGGAGAACAGCTATTTCCAGGTATGGGAAGTAAGAGTACATAGTAAGCCTAGGACATCTTACAATGCCAGAAAACGAGAACTTTTCCAAAAATGAAGGGCCGATAAACTGAAGAGCTGATGTCAAAGAATACAGGAACCGATATGGCCAAAGATAAAAACTTCAAGTATCCAAAGTATAACACAGATGCAATTATCACTGAATATATATAAACTCAGAAAAAGGGAGTGACAAAAGAAAAATTTTAAAAGTTCCTTGCCTACTCTGGAGCACTTTGCTTCTAGCCAGATCTGAATTCAAAGGAAAGGACCAACTTTCTCTAAAAATGGCTCTTCTCCTAGCAGGAATCCTAAATGTAAAAACACTCTCAAAAGCTGCCTCCTTAATAAAGAATTCCAAAAATGACATTTAGAATCTAGTGGAACAGGCAAGAAGGCATCAGTGAGTTTTTAAAACTGTAAGCATTACATGACCCTTCTAATTTACCAAAATATTAATATTTTATGAAAGACAATTTTCAGAGAAAAAATACAGTGAAAATGAGGCCAAAGATACCAGCCTGTGAGTCAAGTTCCCTGTTTCCTTTGTGGGTGGTGGGCTTGAAGACAATAGCCCTTGTTACCAGTGTGGGACCATGGCATCTATTTCTAGGAGGAACAGAGTGAAAATACTGTGTTTGTTCTAACCTACTTGGGGGGCTATCTGAAGGGCTTACATAGGTACTTGTCTCTGTTTTGCCTAAGTTGGAACTAATTCAGGGCAGAAAGTGGTCGGTATTGCATAAAAACATTGTAAAGCCAACAAAAAGCCCACAGTTGTGTGGAACAAAGATTATCATTGAATACACAGACTGCTTAAAGCCTCTGAGAAAAAGTAGAAGAGAATTTCTTTGGGTAATTGGCGCATTAATAATTGCCCATGTATCCTGAGTAATTTTAGAAAGCTATGTGTATGTCCAGGCAGGGGTGTATTAGACAGAAAATACCTGAGAAGACCCAAAACTTTCAATTCTGAAAAAGGCAAAAGGGTTTTCTGGCTAAACTTGGCTGTTCTTCAGGCTCAGTGCAAATAGAAGGTGAAGGCTGAGGTAGAGTTGTAAATAGCCTGGCTGTACTGAATGAGTGTCCCAGCACAGCCAATCCACAAAGACTGAGAAAGGTGGGTATTTTGTTTTTAAGCTTTTAGCTCCAGGAGGTGCAGAAAATCTGTCAAATAGTAGCTGAATACAAGCTAAAGGAACAGAGGCTTCAGTGACTAAACACAACAAGGAATAGAGTCTTCACCAGGAAAGAGAAAAAAAAAAAAAGGTTTGGCAAAGTCATAAAATGAACAATTACAGCTTTCAAAAAAGAAACAGCAGGCCCTGGGGAGAGGGAGAACCTAATTTCCAGAGTTACCAAAGAATAGTATTCAAATGTCCAATTTTCAACAAAAAAACTAGATTGACAGAATCTGTCCTTTACGAAGTGCAAATATTTGAACTTACACTCTAAAACAACTCTCTTAAATGGAAAACCATGAACCAATGGAAAGGCCAATGGAAACCACAAAGAATTAAAGAAATCCAAGAAAACAATGAATCAACAAGTTGAGAATATCAGTAACGAGAAATTATAAAAAGCCAAATAGAGATTCTAGCGCTGAAAAGTAAAACAGCTGAAATAAATTCACAAGAGGGGCTCAATGGCATATTTAAGCAGGCAGAAAAATCAGTGATCTTGAAATAAAACATTTGAAATCACCCAGTCAAATGGACTAACATACACATTATAGGAGTTTCAGAAAAAGGAGAAAAGGTAGAAAGAACATTTGAAGAATGAACAGATCTTGAAAGTAACAAAAGAGAAGCAACATGACAAGGATACTCAGTAAGAGTAACAGCTAATTTCTTATCAGAAACCATGGAAGCCAAAAGGTAGTGAGATAACATATTTAAAGCACTGAATAACAATCAACACAGAAATCTCTATCTGGAAAAACTATTCTTCAAAATTAAAGAGTAATTAAAACATTCCCAAATAAAGAAAAGCTGACAGAGGTTCATTACTACTAACTGTGCCCCAAATATGGTAAAGGGAGTTCTTCAAGTTGAAATGCAAGAATGCCTGACAGTGACTCAGTTGTATGGTTACCGTATTTTTGGTTTGTAACTCTGCTTTCAGTTTTCTACATGATTTAAAAGACAAATACATAAAACACAAAATTATATTTATGTATAGTGTATTTTCTGACAAGAATATAAATAGGGGCAGGGTTAGATAGGAGCAGAATTTTGGTAAGCTATTAAAGTTAAATTGGTATCAATTCAAACTAGGTGATAAATTAGAATGTTAACTGTAATCTCCATCATTAACACTAAGAAAATACCTAAAAAAAATACACAAAAGTAAGTCAGGGAGAATCAAAACAGTATGTTATAAAAAAAGCAATGAAACAAAAAGGTGTCAGTGAATGAAGGAAATGAGGGGGAAAAAGGTATAAGGACTTTCAGAAAAGAATCCCTGCAAAATGGCAGAAGTCCTTCCATATCAGTAATCATTTTTTAACTTTTATTTTCCTAAACATAGCCTAACTGGACCAGGGGAAGGAAAATAACAAACTCTAGCCCCTTATAGCCTTCCTTTCTCATCTAAAAAAAAAGAAAAAGAAAAAAAGAAAAGCTGAGGAACACCTGTAAAGGCCACAGCACAGAGACACAGGCTCGAAAAAGAGGCACGTGTGGGAGGCAACCAATCGATGTCTCTTTCACATCAATGTTCCTCCTTCCCTCCCTCCCTCCCTCCCAGGAGGTGTCCGAGCCTTTGACTAAATAGAAAACATAATCTGCCCTGACCGGGTGGCTCAGTCGGTTGGAGCGACGTCCCCGGCACCCAAAGGTAGTGGGTTCGATTCCCGCTCAGGGCACATACCTGGCTGTGGGCTCGATCCCCAGTAGGGAGGCAGCCGATCAACGTTTCGTTCTCCCATCAATGTTTCTCTCCCCCTCCCTTTCTCCCTCTCTTTCTAAAAATCCCTAGACTGAGGAGGGGGAAGGAACGGGGGGGAACGGGTCAATGGGGAGAAAAAGGGACATCTGTAATACTTTAAACAAAAATAAAAATTATACATATTCAAAAAAAAAAAAAAACTTTTAAAAAAAAGAAAACATTGATTTACTGAGTTATACGGATCTCCTAGATGCTGGCATATGTCGTTATACAATATCTAAAAAT